TGGGATGGTAAAATTGAGATGCAAAAGGGAGGGCTTAGTTCCTGTGGAATTAATCACCTTTTACTGTTATAAAGAAGCTTAGAGTGGAAACAGTTTGTCGTTAGGTTTGAAGTTCTTTCTACACAAGGTGCTAAAGGTGTGGGTTTAGCAGGAGCATGAGGCAATTAACCATCATTAGGGCCTAAAGGTACCTGAGGAATTCCAAACCTGGCACTGTTCCACTGTACCTGGAAGATCAAGCAGAAGATCCCATCAAGCTGCACGTCCACTTCAGACTGCAAACTACAATAAAATTGTGACAAAACACTGCTCAACATTTAAACCTCCCCAGTTCTCTTCTCCCATCAGATCCTCTGTCATTTGGGGAGAGTGCTGGGTTTTGAGGTTTCATGTGCAAATTTCATGTCATGGTAAAAGCTGTATTTTTTTTTTCCCAAGCTATAAAAGGGCATTTTTTATACTGCAGGTTTTCTGCACCCTCGAGCAATCTGTTGGTTGTTCGCCCTGACAGCACTGTGAAATGTAAGCAAGTTTGCCAACTCCTCCCCGTTCCCCCAGCTCGTGGTTTTGAGCAGAGTGTCCTCTAGTGGCCACCAAACCCTTTCCTGCAAAAAAAAAAAAGCAGGTCGTAAAAGGTTAAATTCAGCCTTTACAGAAACCATCTGCAGTTGAGGGCAGATTGCTGCAGGTGAATGACAGCGTTTCACTGCAGCTTGAGAAGCGGAGTGCATTCGAAGGTGACTTTTGCAAGGTTTGCTTTGAAGCAGATCTTCTCTTGAACTCAAACCACAGCTCCTCCACCTCCCTTATCTCCCCCTGATGACGAGTGGGATGTTTGTGAGATGTTCAGGAACACCAGCAGTCACTGTTCCCTCAGTCCTGAGCTCATTTGTCTTTTACTCTCCATCCACGTGACAAATTGTTTAAAAAGGATCGTGCAGCTCTGAACAAGAGCCAAAAATTAGCTCCTAAGCCACAGGAATTGAAGTTAACCCTTGTGTCCCAAAGAAAAGCATCCCCGGCCTCTGCTGGACACCTTTTACAGCAGCAGAATAAGAGGAAATTTGGGGTTGTGTTTCAGGTGGGGTTTTTTTTCTTTCCCTCAGCCTTGTTTGTTTTATTTTTAACTATCACTGCCCCAGCAGAAAGGTTTCACTGAAGCTGGTCCCTGAGGAGCTCATCACTAACTTCCCTCAGGAAACTTCACCTCAGGGAACTGGGATGTGTTACATTTTACTACAAAGTTGAATATAAACATTATCTGACTTATTTAATTTCCTTGATACCATTTGGATGGCACATCTATAGCAGAAAAGGATTATTTTCTTTTTTTCCCAGCAAGCATCACGTGAAGGAAAACATTAAACACCCAACTAGCCTCATGGTATAGCTGGTAAAAGGACATCTATCATACAGCCAGAGGACAGGAAGAAATGCAGACTAGAGGTAATTAGTAATTACCCTGTGGAATAAAGGTTAATGGAGACATTTCATTACCAACAGCTGTATTTGCTGTGAGGCTCCAGTTCCAGCTGAAGCCAAAATATTATTATTCTTAGTACTAGTGAAATGGAAACCTTGATCACCAGCTCTTAAAATCTGCATTAAACAGAACAAAACAGAGCACAGGAGGCAAGAGGGGGGCTGCACTTCAGCAGGCATTAACCCAACTCCTGCCTTCTTTGGTTTAGGCAACTCCTTGCAGGACCAAACCAGCCTAAATGACCTCTTGGTATCTGTTGTCTACAGGTCTAACAGCCAGGTAAGAAAATTCACTCTTTAACCATTCTGATTTATCAAATTTAGGTCAGTTCCTGTGTGCTAATTCCAAAACACAGCTTGCCCAACTCCGTGGCATAGAGGTTTAGAAATCATCAGCTGGGCAGGTTTCTTTGGAGGGATTATATTCTGAGGAGCTCACCTCAAACTATGCACCTACACCATATTATCAGGTGCTTTTTGGAGCATTCTGGTGTCTCACCCTTCAGTCATGGCAACAAGCATTTCTCTACCAAGGATTCCAATCACAACAGAATGCAAAGCCACGTTAAGAAGGCTAAAAAGTCTTTACTGAATTTATTGATACAGAAACATTAATAAAGTTTAAATTGCATTAACACTTCTGCATGCCTCAGGCCAATTTAACTCTAGTTTCTACACAGAGATGAACTTCCAACTTTCACACGAATGATTAAAGCAGCTTGAACTTTGTTTCTTTTTCTTCTTTTTGCAAATTTACTGAAACCTTTGAGGAGTCACAAGCAACTGAAGACTACTCAGAACACAAAGAACAGAGCAGGTCAAATTCCTCGACTGCTTACAGACTCTACAAAACCAGTTTGGTTACAATCAGTCTGTTAGAAATACAAACCCACAGTGCAAGTGCTTGTGCACAGGGAGGGGGAATTGTGTTCACAGTTCCCCTTCACTGACAGGCTATAAGCAGTGTGATTTCACCATTATATTACACAGAAAATTTCTACTCTGGGTTTGTTGTGGCCTCTGGGCGTTTGGACACAGGGACAACTGGACAACCTAGACCATAAATTTCCTGTATATATATTTTATTTATTTCACCCTACCCAGGAAAAATAGCAGGATTTTATGCATTTCATAGAAAGCTACAGAAATCTAGCAAATGCAATTAAAAAAAAGGCAGATCTGGTGAAAAATCTGATAAAATATCTTTTACAATGGGGATAAACAGCTAACTCTCCCTCAAACTGGTCAGCTTTAACAGAATCTCAGCAAGGCTTACTGACACAAACCTGCAACCAAAGGTCATTTCTGAAGGAAATTCTTTCAAAGAAGTTTTGGAATTACCTGGTAGCCAGAAGTAGGAGGCACCCTGTAGTGTGGAGGGGCATGGGAATCGTGCCACAGTGCAGCAAGGCACGGACCTGGTGTGAGTTATTGAGCAGGGACACCTCACAAATACAGAGGTGACACCTTTGGGGAAGCACAGAGGAAAAACGTGGGGTCTGTTAAGCCTCTACTTACCCCCACGTTCAGAACTTTCCTTTGGAGAAACTCACTGCAGTTGCCAGAATTACAAGATGAGCACTTGCAGGTTTACAGGAAACCATCAGCTCAGTGGCCACAGAACTGCCCCAGTTCAAATAAAGACAGAAAAATTGGAGGGAGTGTGATATCTTGGGGTAGGAGTGAGACCAGAAGGGGAAATTTAGGAATCCAAAGGCAAAGCACAGGCTGTGTTGCACTGTGTCACGTGCCTGCAGCCACACGACACCATATGACCACACAACACTCTCAAAGATCCACAGCAAAGCCTGTTAAGCAAGGATGAGTTCTCCACCTTGGGAGAACCAAGAGTTATCTGTTTATTTTCAAAGCTGCACAGAACTCCAGAACACTGTTGAGCATTAAGCAAGTTGTGCAAGTCAGTAGCAGGAACTGAGAAGCCAGGGTTGTTTTGGCAAGACAGGCTTCATTCCTTCCCCCTCAGAAAATGAGGAGACAGTGGAAAAACCCAAAAGATATCCAAACAATACCAGCTTTAGTGTTTCTGCTGGGGAAATGCCTTGCCAGAGCTTCGTCACCTACTTGTAGAGGGTTTTTTTCACACAACCCCCAGCTTTGGGAGTGTTTCACATCAATACAAACTCAAGGGGTTCTTTCCAGCCTTCCCCAATTTAGGCAGACTTGTCAACCAGGCTGAACCAAGTAAAGTTCCCCTTCTCAAGAGGCCACCTCCTTCCATCCCCAGCACAGGAAGACTTGGGAATAAAAACTAAGAGTTCACATCCACAGAAGTGCAGAGTGTGAAGTCCTTCTCTAAGAGCCTGCTAAAACATCTACTTCACTGTTGCAGGAATCAAAGAACCTACCAAGTCAGTCAACTTCACCCCACCTACTACAGGTGGGCCGTGGGTGCAAGAAGTTGTCTCCCAACCACCTTGCAGGGCACACACCCACAGAACACCCAACAACTGCACCAGTTTGGCCTCCTAGAGCGTTTGCAGGCTCTGCACACCCTCCCCCAAGCTACGTTTGGCTGATTCCCCAGGACTGCAGCCTCTCTGCTCAGCCCAGCACCCTGAGCCTCGCTCTGTTCAGCCCGGCAGCTGGCTCACACCCCAGCAAAATCCACAGATTCTGCTGGCACAGCCAGTTTTCACAAACTCACTGCTCAGCTTCTCCTCTCTACCCTCCTCCTCGTCCAGAATGACTCTGTAGATGTCTCCAGAGACAACGGTCACAGCCCTGACCACCCATCAAAGCTCACCAGCTTTGGAATTCTTCACTTGCCTCCATTGCTTTAAAAATAAAACCAAAGAGCAACTTTGTACCTCAGACTAATTCACTAGTGGTGTTTCCCATTACAGAAACCCATGTCCTAGAAAACATTTTTTACCTTTTACTGAAAAATTCCTATGTTTTAGAAGCAAAACTGAGACCAGCCAAAGGGGAGCTGATGCTTTCCTTCTCATTCGACACCTGGATGCCACAAGGGCCACACCAAAAATTCTTTCCTTTCTGTAAAAAGTTGTGCTTTTTCAGATTACTGGAAGAAATAAGATTTGCCAGGTTGGGTTTTACTCCTCATCTTCCCCCTCCATTAAACACACACCACAGTAAAGACGTGGCAGGTTTAGTGGGAGCCAGCACAGACAGCAAAGGTCTTTGGGGAACTGCTTAAGGACATTTAAAAACTGCAATTTGGAAGAGCAGCCAGGAGATTTTTTAAGAGTATCTCTGTGAAGTTTCAGGGAATTAAATCCTTCCATTCCATAAGCAGCTGAGCATTTCACCAACTTGCTTCCTAAGGAATCCCTGCTGGAGGATAAAACTATAGCACACAACTGAGAAGGAAGAAGGAACTCAAAAAGCTGTCACGTTGGAGTATACAGCAGCCACGTTCCCCAGCTAGCCTACTGCCTCGGGTGGTCAGATTAGCAGGCAAGCAAGTGGTAGACATTTGTCAAGCCCTAAGCAGTACTGAATTTTCTGCCTACTCCCCACTTTCTAGAAGGAGGAAATTACTTCTCCCTATAATAGAGCAGGTAATATTTCAAGGGGTCGGGCAAAGGCAGGCTCAAGACCTTCTCTCTCAAAAAGTTTATGGGAGGGTCTGGCTTGAGTTCAGAGGGTTTCGTTTCTTCCTCTTCTCTTCTCTCCTCCTCCATCTCCTCGCTGTTGTTGTTGTCATCTGAGGGGCTGGAGAGGCGACTGGCAAAGACCTCTTTGTCCAAGAAAACGATGGTCTCCATGCGGCGGCGGCGCAGGCGCCTGCGCTTGAAGCGGGGCGGGTCCTTCAGCCCACCCCCAGCTCTGCTCAGGGCCTCCTGGTGGATGATCTTTTTAATGGTCCCCCGGATGGCTATGCGAGCCAGGTCCTGCAGGCTGCGAACGGCCACCGGGGCTGCAACAGAACGAAAGCCATCAACAGATAGGGAGAAACTCCCTCCCCCAGGGCGTCGGGTCGGCTCAAATTAAATCAGGCCACTAGCACGCCCCGCTGTGCTGACCAAAACGGCTCCATTCAGCTCCTGTCAGCTCAGATAAACTGCCTGGGAACTTGCCAAACTAAATTTCATGATGAGTTTCTCTCATTAGCTGAAGGAAAAGAAGAGTTTCATATTTGGATGTCAAGTCCTCGCAGTTATTTTGAGATACGCATCTTAAACGTTACAAGAACAGGGACTTGGTGACCAAAACTGTGACTGTTTAATACCTTTGAAAAAGGTATTTTCTTATCATAGATAATTAGACCTGAAATCTATTTAACTCTTCCATAAAATGAATTTTCTGTTGTGAAGTTGCTTCAGCTTTGCCAAGTTCTTCCCCTATAAATCACGAGCACTATTTACGCTCCTCAAAAACTGCTTCAGACTTGGTGGGTGAAACCATTTGGTTAAAGAAATTATAGAAGCACACAATAAGTTATTGTGTTAAAATACTTCCCACTGTAGGGTTTGCAAGACTGTTCTGCACTTAGTGGCTTCCAGACCATAAGTGCAGCATAAAGAAAAAAAAATACATATTGATGGACACACATCCATGTACTAAAATGAATTAAAATTCAACCAAAAAGCCCTGTCTTCTACTGCCAAGTGAGCAGTCCTGACACCTGAATGAAGGAACCAGCAAAAAATGGTGTGCAATATAGATATGCAGCTCTCAGTACAAAGGCACCATACAAAATATGCTGAAATAGGCACTTAAAGGACTTTCCAGCCCTGTAGGAACTGCTTCCTGAGCTGCTTGTCATGCAGAGACACCTTTCCAGAATAAGAACAAAGCCTGACTAATCTCTTTATGGAAGTTCCTCTGTCTTCTTGTGTTCTTAAGAGGCCTCTCTACACTAAAGTCTTAATCTAAAGATTGAGGCCACTGCCTACGACCTGCATCTCAAACAGCTAACCAAAAATTGCACAACTTCTCTCCCTCAGGGGTTCCACGTTCAGGATAATCCTGAATTGCTGGGCAGTGAAAGCCTCTGAGTGGATGTAATGTTGGTTTACAGGTACTGCTGTGTATTCCCCAGCCCCACAGCACACTGCCCCAGAACCACAAGAGGACAACTCAGGATTGAAACAGGACTCTGCATGTGCAAAACCAATCAAAGGTCCCACAAAATTTAGGCCCAATTTCTCAAGGAATCATTTGCATTTAGAATCTGAAACCCTGAAGCTTCCACCAGGCAGATATCCTCCAAGGCAGGCTGGGATTAACACAGAATTTAGATAACTGCTCAAAGGAGGAAGCAGTTGGGAGTGATTTTCCTTGGGAGGATTTGCAGGGATGTGACATCCCAGGAAGCAAAGTGCAGCTTCCAGCCAAAGAGCAGAAGCAAAACCTCCCCCACCCTCAGGAAGGTACTCACGGAGGTGAACGAGCCTTGACTTCCCTGAGTCTGCGTGGTTAGGCTGAACCAAAGGAGCAAAGGAAACAGCCAGAATCTTCTTGGTCTCCCAGGCAGAAGGGCCAGTCCGAGTTATCTTAGTCAACTAAACCAAAACAAGGAGATTATTGTCCATTGTGTGAGCTACAGGAAGATTTTTTGCAACAAAAAACCAAGCACACGACTTTTCTGCCTGCAGAAGGGGTTAAAGCACTGGGAGCTACATCAGTAAAAGGTAATGAGGAGAAACACTGGTGGGTTTTGGAGAAAAATGAGAATTTACAGGATTAGCCCCAAGCCACTTCATCTGTTCAGAAGCCACTGACACTTGTGAACAGGGACCATTTGCACAAAAGCTCTTTCATAAGGCAGTAAGGGTGTAAAATGTTGTATTTTGCTATTAAGGGTGTAATATTTTGTGTTTGGCTATTAAGCCCATCACTAGATTATCCAAAATTATGTATGCTGCCATTTTTCTGCAGTGTGAAAGGAAGTTTGCATTTAACAACAACAGACTGGAATGCTGGGAGACTGAATTTCTGAAGGACTCTGAAGCCTGCAGAGTTGCCACCCACTGGAAAGCAGAGCTAAAGGAACTGCTCCTGACTACACCAAGATCAGAGTTAAGAAGAACTGAAAGGCAAATTTGGGGAGAAAGGCACTCAACCTTCTCTTCTAGAGGCATGACAAGAATTCCTCCCACTTTCAGCAGGTTCTTCATGTAGTCTTCATGTTCCTTCTGCACTCCAGCCCCACAGTAAACACGGTCATACTGAGTGCAGTCTGGAGAAATCTCCAAACAGTTCCCAGTAACAAAAGATGGCTCACAAAATTCAAATCTGAAAATGAAGAAGATGTGTATTACACCAGAACATGAGAATTTTATCACAGGAATTCTTTTCATTAGTCTGAAAAGATGAAACAACGACAAAGACTTGGAAAGAACAACCCAGTTTTGCAGGATTTCTCCTCCAAAGGCCACATATTTGGGATATTACTGGAACAAGGCACAGCCAGGAGTCTCAAAACCACAAAGCAACGAGGTGAAAATCCATAGCTGAGGATCTCTGAAGGATAAGGAGGCACAATTTCACACTGGAGTTGCACATAACTCTTCAGAACAAGCTGGGTTTAGTCACCTGAAGCTGACTCAGCTCTAATACACAAATATAAACATTAGACCTGCAATTCCAAATGTTAAGGTCTTTTAAGGACTGCACCAGAGGGGTTTTTTTTTGGCATTTTCTAAAGCTTTTTAATGGTTTTCAGATGTTGTGGGGAACTATCACCTTATGCTTCAGAAATATGCTTTGCTGAAGCCAATGGAAGTTTTGCCATTAGCTTCAGAAGAATTGTGATTTCACCCCTCACAAAAAGAGTTTCAGCCTGTGGCATTTCTGATTCAGTTTTAAAAGAAAAATGACTGACTCAATGATGCTCCTGGCTTCCTTACACACTCCAGAACTACATAAGCTTCAAGCCTTGCATTTTAAAGGGCTGCTTTTCACAGAAGTTGTACAACATACTCCTCCTACTACTGGTATCTTGAGAAAAAAAATTTTTTTTCAGCTCTGAAAAAAAAAAATCTCATCTATTTGTGAGCACAAAACATGCCAAAAACTTTCAGTCTGCTGCCAACCTCAGGAAAACACAGCCCCTGTCAGCAGCAGCCTTCCAGTCCAGCACAGGGCTGAGGAGTTTAAATTCCAACCTGTGGTGACTTTCATTTTCTTCCTCCCACTAGAGCAGGACTCTCAGGTATCCAGAGATGTTTTATTTCCCTGTTTGAACAAACTGTGAGAAGGATCCAAAAATATGACAGCTGCAGCTTTTATTGCTGAGGTTACTATTGGCAGTGGTTATCTTGCTGGGAAAGTTATTGCTTGTGACAGCAGCAAAATGGAGGCTCTACAGAAGAACATAAATCAAACCCCAAGCAGTTTCAGGACCAACTTAATCATCATAAAACTACCTTCCTATTTTAAAACATCATTTTTCTTCTCAGATAACACATGAGGCCTCCACAGAAATCAGTTCATGTTCTTCTGCTAGCCACACATGATCTCCAATCCCAAAAAGAACAACAGGTATTGGCCAGTTTCAAGTGTTTCACCTGTAAGTGCACTTTAAAACAAGCAACCTTCCTCAGCTCCCTCTAAGCTCTGCTATTAAAAACACTGCAAAACTTTCTGAAACTCCCCCACAAACACAGATCAACTCCAAAGGTCACACTCTGCAGCTCAGCAAGCCTAAGGAGCCAGAATCCCCAGATTACCCTGAATCCAGAGCTGCCACACAGAGCAAGAGCTGCCGTGACCAAAGCCAAAGGCTCAAAAGGAGTCCAAAAGGGCTTTCAGGATTCTTACTTGTCAAAGCTGTCACTTGTTTTGATGAAGAAGTCCAATTTCTGCTTTGCATATTCAATCACGTCGGAGTGAAGCTCCACACCATGGTTAACACCAAAGGGACCTGCAGGGGTAGAGCAGCAGGATGAGGGGAACAGAATGACACAAAATGGGAGAGGATTGGGGAGTTTTGGTTACTCCCTACAGCAGGTTGCTCCCTGAGTGTCAGTCAGTGCCTGAGTTGACTCCTTGGTAGCTCAGTAGTAGAGAATCACAACCCTACACCTACACTTTCTGGCAGCAAATGAGGCTGTTTTGCCTCAAATTGATTTTGCATCATTTCCTCTTAACTATGCAGGAAATTCCTCTGTAGGAGGGAAATGCTGATACCACTGCTGTAAAACCAGCTGCCTTGGAAAAAAAACCCCATGCAGAATGCCTGCACGTTTTAATAAATCCCTCCAAAAAACCTCAACATTATTCTTACAACCCCTTGCTGACAGGCTAAAAATCAACTCACAGGAAAATTCCTGACAGCCCCCCAGAAGGTAAATATGTACCCTGTGGTCATTATCCACCCTGGCAGCCCAACTGCTGACAGAAATACTTCAGGGCAAGTGCAGCTGCATCACTGCTCTGTGCTCCTGTGGTGTGGTCACAAAGGCAGCTCCGAGGCACTAACTGCTTTCCTGAGACCATTCCCCCCCTGCACGTTGCTGAGATTCAAAACTCCAGCACATTTCAGGCTGGTCAGGGCAGTGTGAACCCCAGCCAGCCTTAGTCAGGGGTTTCTGTGGACATGCTCAGCCCGAGTTCAAACGTGGCACTCCTGTCCCTGAGCTGGGTCCTTGTTTAAGGGGCAACCAACCCAAGTTGGTGTCCAGTCCTGCAGGAATCTGCCACAGCCACCCGTGGAACTACATTGTTGCCTGTTCTGAACTGCCAGATCTCACTTGATTGTGGAGGAAAGCTTGCAAGAAATCTGATTCACACTTTTATTTTCCCAACTACCTTTCAGTCTCCTTACTCCAGGAACGCTCCACTCCCAATTTCAAAACCTTTCCCTTTTTAACCTAACAGAACCAGTTAACACGACTGAAAAGGTATTTACCCAAGATGAGTCCAACCATAGAACTCAGATAACCAGTGCCGCTGCCAAGATTCAAAAATGAGAGCCCTGGTTGCAGATCCAAAGCCTCCATCACCTCAGAGTAAATGCACGGCGCCGAGAGATGAATGTTTCCATGCTTCCAAGCCAGGTCCTTGTAGGCATTGTCTTTGAACTCCTCCAGGTAGTAATCTGCTCGATCGATGGCTCGGAAGGCTTGCTCTACCAGTTCTGAACGGATGTATTGAGCCTCCTTCAGGTTATCGATTAACTCATCGTTGTCTTCCCCCGCACTCACAGCACCTCCCATCTTCACTGGTTTATCTACAAGCGCTAAAACTAGAAGGGGAATAAAGGTGAGGTGTAAAGCATGCACTTGAACACTAAATCAAACCTTTAGGTACTCTAAGGGCTCTACAAGCACCAGCCAAACGCTCCCATCATCACCTCCATTCAAACCCAAAACGCAGCCGGTACCTGACGCTCTAAAAATCACAACAGGGAGTTTCAACGGGAGATGATTGTCTTCAAACACGACCCCCAGTTAACCACCCTGTCAGCTTTTCCACCCAACCCCTTTATAGAGAGGATTGTTCCAGCTCCCGTGCTCCTGGGTCGTTTTTCACTGCAAATCCAGCCAGCAGGGTGAGTTTGGTTTGCTGGGCAGGATTGATGCCTCAACACACATCTAGTTTTTCTTCCCTTCCTATGTCTTAAAGAAAAAAGTCCTTTTCAGAACACACAGTGTGATTTTCTTTTTAGCTGTATTTATTTACAATGCCTTTCCCTGCTCACCACAGAGGCAGCAGCTTCAGAGTCCCTTCCTGGGATCACCAGATCTGCCTAGAGCTCAGTTGTTGGGGTTTGTTACATTCAGGAAGAACAAATCACCCACTTTTCGTTTTCAGAGGAAACAAAGCAAAGCTGCAGGAGTCCAAGGAAATTTCACAGTTATTCAAAGAACCTTAACCCACACCGACCCCATTACCTGGAGGCACACACTAAATAGGATGGATTTAAGCAGGGGACTCCAGTTTTTACTACATTCATTTCTCAAACACATCAATCCAGTCCTAGACCATTCATAAAACTTCAAAAAGAGCCCCACCTTTCCATTTACTCCTCCATTTTCCCTATCATAAATTCACAGTGGAAATGCATCAAGTGGAAGGAGGATTCATCAGCCAACTTGATTTTTTACTATTTTATTCTCTCCTCTCATCAACTCGTTGCATCTGCACACACAGGGCTGCTCATCTCTTTGGTCAGGATGCTTCTGCCACACACAAGCTCCACTGGGACAACAGCTTCAGCCTGGTTTGAGCTCAGCAGCTACCATCAACAACTACCCTTCCACCTTCTACAACGTGGAAAACATTCTGCTAATGAGATCAAAGGACATCCAAGCTGTGACAGGGGCCAGTTACTTCTGAAATGATCAATTCTACCTGACACCAGCTTACTTCCAATAAAATCCCTGGTTTCTACGCAGAGCTCTGACCTCTAAATTCCACTCTGGATAATTCCACCCCTTTGTTTAACCTTGTTTCCCTTCTCCTGTTGGAAGTGGGAATCAAGACTATGCCTAGAGCTTATTTTTAACAAGCTTTTTAAATCCAGATCTTCTTCTTCTGCTCCAACTGGCCCAGCTGCACTTTTCACACTTCTAAGGAAAGCACAAATTTCAACAAATCTGAGCAGGGACAAAGTTCACATGCAAAAATGATGATCCTTATCCAACCACAACGCAGGTACCAGACCCAGCAGCCTTTGATTGCTGGAACAGCCCTTCAACTGCATGCTGCCCTCGGCCCCTTTAAGAACAACAGGAAAAAAAACAAACCCACACAAACAAGGCTGACGTGAGAAGCTGCGTTCAAGGCGTGAAACAAAACAGGGGAAATTAAAGCAATTTCTTCCAAGGCAGAGGCACAGGGGAAGCCTCAAAACACAAGGCACAAAAATGTGACTTTCACCCTAATAGATTTCCAGGGTAATTCTCACTCGGGCATATGCTCCAGAAGGAATAACAAAGGTGAGGCTATTTACCAATTGAATAAAAAAACAGTTAAATAGTTATAGTCACAGAAACATTAAGGTTGGAAAAAACCTCTGCGAACATCCAGCCCAGCCATCAACCCAACACTCCCATGACCATTAAACCGTGTCCCCAGGTGCCACATCCACATGTTTTTTGAACCCCTCCAGGGCTGGGGACTTCAGCACCTCCCGGGGCCAAGGCCTCACCACTCTGCCAGGAGAGAAATTCTTCCTAATATCCACTCTAAAGTCGGTGCAGCTTTCAATTCGATCCCTTCCAACCCTTTCAGACAGCAAGCTAAAAAGCCCCCTCAGTGCTCCATCATTACCGGGCTGCTGCCGAGGGAAGTGAGGGAACTGAGCCGAGGGAGGTGAGGGAAAGCCCGATGTCGATACCACCC